AATAAACATTCAAATAATTAAACAAATCAACGTCAATTTAATTATTCAAACTAAAAACTTCATAAAAAGGGTTCATCACATCCCAACAATATGAAAAATTAGCCAAGCATATTTTCGAAATTAAACATTCAAAAGTTAAAAGACGTCACAAAAATTTGACAAAACGTGCAAAGCGAATCCGCCGTCTTTTTTTTCTTCTTCGTTTTTCTTTCCGTGTGTTGCCCTTTATTAATTTCAGCTTCGGTTGCGTGTAAAGATATATTAATGGCTCTGAATTCTTTGTTTTTCCTCCTAGCCAGTGGCCCTATGTATGCTTGTATATTCTCTTCCCAAAGCTGCTTCTTTTTTTTTTTTTTTCTTCCCATAGGCTGCTGCCAATATGTTTATTTCTTTGCTTTCAACAACCGGCAGCCCTTTTTTTCCCAAGAATATTGACTATTTTTTATCGTTGCAATAACTGCTTATATGTATGCAGCCCACTTCTTATCTCTACTGGCAGTCGAATTGTGTATGTATAGTCCCCAAAAGAGATTTCAATGCTATCTCTCTATTCCAAGCAGCCAAAAACCTTTTTTAACTCCCTTTTTGCCTCTCTTTCTGTGCGTATATGTATATAATATAGACTGCTCCCCTTCTAATTACTCCCACATGAGTATATATATTAACCTAGCAGCTCCAAATTCAACAGGAGCCCTAGTAATCCTTTTATTTGATTCCTAATTGCAAGCCCAAACTAAAGCCCAATTAAGTTCAATGCCCATTTAATTTAATATTCCTTTCCAATGTTTCATCTTTCCCAACTAATGCAATTGAGTCCTTCAATTTCTATATTGTAAACTGTGATCTCCAAACTTTGCATTCAATAGCCAATTTAATTCCCATATTTCAGATTTTGCCATTTTTCGCCACTGTTTGCTTATTTCTTTGAATTCCTTTTCATTTATGGTGACACATCCCGTCCTAAGACTCAAGACGTGACGTGAGCCGATGATAAGTGCCAGCTAGGCACTGGACTCATCACCAAGGCAAAAGTAACTAAACTTTAATAATAAAGCTTAATTTGACCAATTAAAATCTTTCTGAACTCCAATATACCAACATAATAATATCATTCGCTCGTTTAGCCAAAAACATCCAATCATTTTGATCAAAAATTCCTCTCAAAAGGATAATAGAAAGTAGTTTAGATTACAATAGTACATCATGATCATTGGTGTATATAAATACCAAAAAAAAAAAAAAAAATTCCTCCAATATGATGCAAATATTTCACTTGATGATTACACAATTTCAAACGAAATAACCTACAATTGGTGGTAGCAATGACTGCAAAACTATCAAAATAATCTCCACCACAGTTCAGTCAACAACCTCCTATAAGGAAAAGTTCAGGAAAATATGAGATAATAATCCCAATGAGTGAAGTACTTAAAAGATGGTTATATATATATATATATATATATATATATATATATATACACACACACACACAACTAGATGAGTAAGTACATTAGACAATTCAATAATCAAAAACCATAATCTAAAATCCACAAGCTGAATTGTAAACAGGAAATATGTAAGCTGAAGACTAAAAATCCACTATATAATTAAAATTCACATCAAAATATATCTCATGTAAACATCTACTAATGATCTGAAAGCTATAAATCATATGTACATAAGCCGTCTGATCAATATTCTGTACACGGTCGTAGCCCCTCAGTGTACAAGATGGAAACAATATAATCATCCTTATACATGGCTGTAGCCCCTCAGTGTATAATGGATACCTTTACCCACGACCGTAGCCCTTTAGTGAATAAGAGTTACCCTTAGACACGGCTGTAGCGCCTCAATGTATACCTTTACCCACTGTCGTAGCCCCTCAGTGGATAAGAGTTAAATACATGACTCTAGTACACGGCCGTAGCCCCTCAGTGCACTAGAGTAAGATAATTACATCAATTATTTTATGATAATTTCAAAACAAACATGCTCATTTACTATTTCTCAAAAATAAAGCATTTCATGTAATTAACATGCTTCTATAAAATAAAAAGAAAATCTTCTTTTTGAAAATATAGATTCTCCACTTACAGATATAGGTTGAACTAACAGGGCCGGCATGCTGTTCCTGCGTCCGAATCCCCTCCTGAAACAATCATAAATATAAGCCATTTCAATACCATCCATATATAGTTACAAGGGATTTCTCAATAATAACCGCTTCTTATCATCAAAATAAAACATATATCCCTCAATAAGCAATAATCTAAGACTTAATATTTATATTTCATTTGGTTACTTAAGCATACGTCCACTTAATTTCGAATCACTCTACATCCTTCAATCGTTAATACTAACATTTCCCGGCTGCCCCATAAAGATTCAACAAGCTTTTCATGATAATAATCATCCACATTCTTTATTTAAATTCTCTTTTAACTAAATACATAAATCTTATCAAAAGCTCATTTCTTATATTCTCCATATTCATCCAAAGTCAGAATTCAAGCATGAGATAAGTTATTTTCAACTAATCTAATTTAATAATACCATAAAACAATCACAAGGGAAAATAACAAGAATGCATATTTTTCCTCAAATTTTCGGATTAACCATATATAACAAAACCCTAATATCTAAATATTATTTCTTCCAATCCACTAGAATAACTAGCTCCAAATACTCAAATAGTTAGCTTCCTTATCATATTTTTCAAGTATAAGTTGTAAATTTAAAACCCTAAACAAAAATTTACAAAAGCTAAACCATAAATTATTAACCTTACCTCTTGAAGAATTAAATGAACAAGATTGAAGTAGTTGGCACAAGATTTCTTCTTTCCTTTCCTTTTTTTTTTCCTTCCATTCTTTTTCTTTTCTTCCCTTTTTCCTCTTCTCTGCGTTCTCTCTCGTTCAACACACTCTAGTGTGTGTTTGTGTGGGAAAAATGGTCAAAGTTTGAATATAAAGGCCACTTGTTAAAAATTGCTAAGGAAGGTCCCTATTCTTTAATAGAATATAACTTTTAAATTCGAAACTTCCATATATATATATATATATATATAAGTAAATTTTCAACTTTAAATTGTAGCCAATTTAACCCTCATATATGGCTAATTATAAAATAAACCCCAATAAAATATTTAATTTTAGTTTAGTCCTTAATTGACTTTGACTTTGACTAGTCAACATTTGAATTTTGACTGGAAAAGTTTGGGTTCTAACAATCTTACCCCCTTAAAAGAATTTCGTCCTCAAAAATTCAGCTGGTAATTGAGTAGGCAATGAATAAATGAGGAGATAGCCTCTTCTACTGTTTGAGTCTGCCAAAGTACCTTAACAAGTGAAACTGTCTTGTTTAGTTGAATTTGCACCTTTTGTCTAAAATTTTCAATGGCTCTTCTACGTAAGTCAAATTCTCCTTCAACTGAACTGGTTGAGACTATAGAACATGAGAAGGATATGCAATATACTTACGAAGCATGGAAACATGAAAAACATCATGGATCCGAGATAATTCATCTGGCAGATCTAATCGATATGCAACTGGCCCAATCCGCTCAGTAACCTGATAAGGTCCAATATATAGTGGACTCAACTTTTCTCGTTTGCCAAATCTCAACACTCCTTTCCAAAGTGATAATTTCAAAAAGACTTTCCAAAGTGACAATTTCCCTGGATGCATAGCATAAGCAGAACTATGTGCCTCTTCTAAAATTTCATTCTTCAATTCTGGAATATCTGGAACACATAATTTATTACCCATAGCTAATGACCCATCATCTCTAATCACATAATTCATCTGTAACCCTACACTAACTTGTGCTTTCACGGTTCTCAATGGCAGGTCTTGAGATTGAGCTTCTTTAACCTTGTCAATCAATGAAGGCCTCACTTGGAAATGAGCTAATATTGCCCTTGAAGTAGTAACTGACAACTGAGTATGTAACTTCTTGAACTCACAAATCAAAGAAGCATATACTGCACTGGATGGAGATGAAGAACTAGTTTTTCTACTGAGAGCATCTGCAACTACATTAGCTTTCCCAGGATGGTAGTCAATTTTACAATCATAATCCTTTATCAACTCCAGCCATCTTCTTTGCCTCAAATTCAGTTCCTTCTGATCAAAGACGTTAGACTTTTATGGTTGGTAAATATTTGACATTTCTCATCATAAAGGTAATATCTCCAAATCTTCAATGCCAACACTATTGCAACTAACTCCAAATCATGAGTTGGGTAATTTAACTCATGCTTCTTCAATTGTCTAGAAGCATAAGCTACAACTTTTCCATTCTGCATTAGAACATAACCCAATCCTTGGCGTGAAATATCACTATAAATCACAAACTCTTCACCTGGAGATGGAAGAGTAAATATAGGAGCAGAAGTTAACCATTTCTTCAACTCTTGGAAACTCTTCTCACATTCCTCATTCCACACAAATTTGATGTTTTTTTGAGTCAAAATAGTCAAAGGAAGAGCAATTTTGGAAAAATCCTCTACAAATCGTCGATAATAACTTGCTAGCCCAAGGAAACTACGTACTTCTGTAACATTAGTAGGGCGCTCCCATTTCATGACCGCCTCAATCTTTTGAGGATCTACATAAATACCTTCTGCCGAGATAACATGACCTAGAAACACAACTTTATCCAGCCAAAATTCACATTTGCTAAATTTGGCATACAGCTGTTTATCTTGCAAAGTCTGCAAGATAATCCTCAAATGCTCAGCATGTTCATTATGAGTGTGAGAATAAACCAATATATCGTCAATAAAAACAATCACATATTTGTCTAAATATGGGTGAAGCACCCTATTCATCAAGTCCATAAATGCTCCTGGGGCATTAGTCAACCCAAATGGCATCACTAAAAACTCATAATGCCCATATCACAACCCGAAATCAATTTTCTATACATCCACAGCCCTAATTTGGAGTTGATGATACCCTGAATGCAAATCAATCTTTGAAAATACTGAGGCACCTCAAAGTTGATCAAACAAATCGTCAACGTGGGGTAGAGGGTACTTATTGCGAATAGTCATCTTATTCAACTGTCTATAGTCAATACATAATCTCACTGTGCCATCTTTCTTTTTCACAAATAAAACAGGTGCTCCCCATGGAGATACACTAGGTCTAATGAAACCTTTATCCACCAAATCTTATAATTGTACCTTTAATTCCTTCAACTCTTTCGGAGCCATTCGATAAGGTACCTGTGAAATAGGTGCTGTCTCGGGGACTAAATCAATACAGAATTTAATCTCCCTGTCTAGGGGTAATCCCAGAAGGTCTTCTGGAAAGACATCGGGGAAATCTCGCACAACTGATATATTGTCAATTTCCAGCTTAGTGATCTGAGTATCAATCACATGAGCCAATTATGTATAACAACCCTTTTTTAGCATTCTTCTGGCATCAAAGACAGATATCATACAAGATGGCAGAATTCTGCGCTCTCCAGTGAGAACAATTTCAAGATTTTCTGGACTTCTAAATATCACTTCCTTGCGAAAACAATCGACTGAAGCACGATGTCTAGATAAAAAGTCTATCCCCAAAATAACATAAAAATCATGAATATCTAGTGAAACTAGATTTGCTTTTAACTCATGATTGTTCACTCTAATCTCACAATCTTTGTATACCCAGCTAAAAGTGAATCCCCTACAGGAGTCATTGCTACTAATTCACTATTTAAAGGCTCTGACATTTTATCAGCATGGCTAGAAAGTGCATGAGAAATAAAGGAATGTGTAGCACCCAAATCAATTAAGAAACAAGCATTTCTACCAAAAATAGATAACATACCCATAACTACGTCAGGTGATTCCTCGGCCTCCTGTTGTGTCATAGAAAACACTCTGCCCTGAGTCTGAGTACATCCCGACTGTCCCCTCTGCCTGGAATCACTGCCACCGGCCATATCAGACTATACTCTACTAGTCGAACCTACATTACTTGTTGGAATTCCCTTTTTATTCTGTCTCGATCTAGCATCACTAGTCCCTATTTGTATACTTGTTCCCTAAGATGAGCGTCCCTCTTGAAATCAGGCTGGACAGTCTTTCCTTAAATGTCCTTCCTATCTGCACACAAAGCATCCATTGGTACCCTTAAGACACTTACCAAGATGGAGTTTTCCACAAATCTGACAAGGCGGATATCGAGTACTACTAAGGCCGTCAATAGGTCTCGAGGCCATAGCCCTCTGAACCCAAGATTGACGGTGTGCTAGCCGGTCGATGGAGTTCTGACTACGACTGGATTCTTGACTGGATCCAAAACTCTGAGATCTCGACTTAAAACTCCCAGTATGAGTAACACCAAGCCAAAATCTTCTTCTGTTCTTTTTATGCTATCCGCTAGAGGTTCCTGTCTGAAACTTTGATTTTCCTGAATAGCTAACTTTATCCCCTGACTCTATCCTGCTTGTAATGTTGCCTCGACTCTCAAGGCCATCTCTACTAGTGGACCAAATTTGGAATATCCCTGCCCTATCATCATCGCCCTAATATCAGGCCTCATGTTCTCTTCAAATCGTCTGCATTTGTCATTCTCCTCATTTATTAGAACCAATGCATTCTTTGAAAGCTCCACAAACTTGGTGTGATATTCAGAAACAGTCATTGAACCTTGAGTCAGTCTCAAAAACTCATTTTGCTTGGAATTCTTGTATGAAAAAAGATAGTAAGTCTCAAAGAAAGCATCTCTAAAAATAGCCCATGTGATGTCACTGGCTTCACGATACCTGCTTCGAAAAGTAACCCACTAGTCAGCTGCCACACCTTTCAGCAAGAAAGTAGCAAGGTATAGTTTCTTTTTCTCAGAACAACCCATAACATCAAAAATACTTTCTAAATTCCTCATCCATTCCTCAGCATCAGCAGGGTTAGCTGTGCCCACAAAATGTTTAGCACCGAACTTAATTGCCCTCTCGATGCTAGTATCTCTATCTGGGTTGGGAAGAATAGAGGCAATGATTGTAGCGAGTCTGTCGAATAGGGGATCATTTCCAGCCACATTACCCTATGTCGGCAGTCCTTGCATCTGATGAACTAATGCCTCACCTACATCTTCTCCTATAGGGGCATTTGGATTTTCAGGTGGTTGGTTTCGACGCTTGCCTGCTCTGCCACTGCACATCCTTAACCTACAATATGCATAATATGTTGAAAGATCAGAATAAATTCAGCATATCCCAGAGACTCTTGAACCATGCTCTAATACCACTTAACACATCCCGTCCTAAGACTCAAGACATGACGTGAGCCGATGATAAGTGCCAGCTAGGCACTGGACCCATCACCAAGGCAAAAGTAACAAAAATAATAAAGCTTCATTTGTCCAATTAAAATCTTTCTGAACTCCAATATACCAACATAATAATATCATTCGCTTGTTTAGCCAAAAACATTCATATCATTTTCATCAAAACTACCTCTCAAAAGGATAATAGAAAATAGTTTAGATTACAATATTACATCATGATCATTGGTGTATATAAATACAAAAAAAAAATTTCCTCCAATATGATGCAAATATTTCACTTGATGATCACACAATTTCAAACAAAAGAACTTACAATTGGTGGTAGCAATGGCTGCAAAACTATCAAAATAATCTCCACCACAGCTCAGTCAACAGCATCCTATAAGGAAAAGTTCATAAAAATATGAGACAATAATCTTAGTGAGTGAAGTGCATGGTTGTACTGTGCTTTGTGTGTGTGTGTGTGTGTGTACACACACAACCAGATGAGTAAGTACATTAGACAATTCAATAATCAAAAACCATAATCTAAAATCCACAAGCTGAATTGTAAGCGGGAAAAAGGTAAGCTGAAGACTAAGAATCCACTATATAATTAAAATTCACATCAAAATATATCCCATGTAAACATTTACTAATGATCTGAAAGCTATAAATCATATGTACATAAATCGTCTGATCAATATTTTGACACGGCCGTAGCCCCTCAGTGTACAAGATGGAAACAATATAATCATCCCTATACACGGTTGTAGCCCTTCAGTGTATATTGGATACCTTTACCCACGACCATAGCCCCTCAGTGGATAAGAGTTACCCTTACACACGTCTGTAGCCCCTCAGTGTATATTAGATATCTTTACCCACGGTCGTAGCCCCTCAGTGGATAAGAGTTAAATACATGACTCTAGTACACGATCGTAGCCCTTCAGTGCACTAAAGTAAGATAATCGCATCAATTATTTTATAATAATTTCAAAATAATCATGCTCATTTACTATTTCTCGAAAATAAAGCATTTCATGTAATTAACATGCTTCTATAAAATGAAAAGAAAATCTTCTTTTTAAAAATATAGATTCTCCACTCACAGATATAGACTGGACTAATGGGGCTGGTATGCTGTTCCCACGTCCAAATCCTCTCTTGAAACGATCATAAATATAAGCCACTTCAATTCCATCCATGTATAGTTACAAGGGATTTCTCAATAATAACCCCTTTTTATCATCAAAATAAAATATATATCCATCAATAAGCAATAAGCTGAGACTTAATATTTATATTTCATTTGGTTACTTAAGCATACGTTCACTTAATTTCGAATCACTCTACATCCTTCACTCGTTAATGCTAACATTTCCCGACAACCCCATAAAGATTCAACAAGCTTTTCATGATAATAATCATCCACATTCTTTATTTAAATTCTCTTTTAACTAAATACATAAATCTTATCAAAAGCTCATTTCTTATATTCTCCATATTCATCCAAAGTGAGAATTCAAGCATGAGATAAGTTATTTTTAACTAATATAACTTAATAATACCATAAAACAATCACAAGGGAAAATAACAAGAATGCATATTTTTCCCCAAATTTTCGGATTAACCACATATAACAAAACCCTAATATCTAAATATCATTTCTTCCAATCCACTAGAATAACTAGCTCCAAATACTCAAATAGTTAGCTTCCTTATCATATTTTTCAAGTATAAGTTATAAATTTAAAACCCTAAACAAAAATTTACAAAAACTAAACCATAAATTATTAACATTGCCTCTTGAAGAATTAAATAAATATAATTGAAGTAGTTGGCACTAGATTTCTTCTTTCTTTTTTTCTTTTCTTTCCTTTTTCCTTTTCTCTGCGTTCTCTCTCGTTCAACACACTCTAGCGTGTGTTTGTGTGTGATTTTTGTGGAAAAAATGGTCAAAGTTTGAATATAAAGCCCACTTGTTCAAAATTGCTAAGGAAGGTCCCTATTCTTTAATAGAATATAACTTTTAAATTCCAAACTTCCAAATATATATATATAAGTAAATTCCTAACTTTAAATTGTAGCCAATTTAACCCTCATATATGGCTAATTATAAAATAAACCCCAATAAAATATTTAATTTTATTTTAGTTCTTAATTGACTTTGATTTTGACTAGTCAACATTTGAATTTTGACAAGAAAAATTTGGGTTGTAACATATAGAGTTTACTTATAAAACATAAAATACAACAATTTCGGATATTAAATACCCCAAACTTAAACATTTGTTTATTTTCAAACAAAACTATAACCTAAATAATAATAAATACACAAGTATGTAAAATTTTTTGTTGGACAGTCAAGCTTTTTACCTCAGGATTTGAGATCGTCGTATTAAATCTACAAACTGTTTCAAAGTCATAATATCAAATCAATATCTATTTTTCCAATACAAAACTGACGTGTGTGTATGAAGAACTAAGTAAAAATTAATGACTTCGCAAGTTGTTTCAATTCCCTACCTTTTATGGTCAAATGTAACATTTCATCTTTTGTAAGATTCACACACTTCCAAACTTATTCTTTTTTACTCTTTTCCCAACATATGATCCAAGATTGAATTTTTCATTACTATCATCATCATCTCCAATTTGGGTTGAAGTCACTAGTTGCAAGTAAACACATTAATGTACAAGGATTCTCCATTTATTTGATTGCTTCGACCGTCGGGACTCAACTAGGTTAATTATCCTTCTTCGAAAGTCAAATTCCGATGAAAAAATGTTAGGACTTAACAAGACATTTAATGCTTCTTTTTTTTTTTTTTTTGACTTTTTTGGCACCCCCCCCCCTTAAGCTTTCTAGATGACCCATGTAGCAGGCTTTAAGTCGATGACTCCCAAGTCAGACGACTTTAGGGCACCTGATTTTTAATCATTTTTACAGGCTTAATAACTCGAGTCAAAAAGGTTTCAAAGAGAATAATTTTTTTTCTTTTTTCAAGGTTAACTTTATCTTTGATTGCTTTCTAAATGATATATGTAGCAAGCTTTAGGCTGATGACTCCCAAGTCAAATGACTTTAGGACATCATGTTTTAAGATATCATTGCAAGCTTAATTACTCGAGTCATAAAAGTTTCAAAGAGAAGTTTTAAATTTTAAAATATATGCCTTGATTAGTGTAATGTCCTTTATCACACACCTATTCAAGCAAACGGACCTCCAACTTAAGATTTTCGCCCGATTTTATCATGTTAGTCTAAGACAATCCACAAAATTTTTTTAACCGAAGGAATCCACATTTATGTTTGCATCTTCCTACAATAGTAAAATTATGGTTTGGATAAAACATCTATGTCCAACGAAATCAACATATCAGGAGCATGAAATAACTCATTTCATCACCATGTCAAACTCAATTCTAGTGTACGAATAATATTAAGTTTTGTAAGGTTAAGTTTCAATCAGTCTAGCATGCATCATATCCACAGTTCATAAATTAACACCAATTCTCAAATTTAATCATCATTTTTAGCCAAACCATCTAACCTACACAGGCATACAACAAAAAATTCATATTTTTTTTTTAATAACTAAACATACAAAAACAAACACACAAAAACATATGAAAACCAAAAACTCAAAATTTTTCCCACCCCCAAACTTA